TATATATATATATATATATATATATATATATACCTCAATAACCTGAATCAGTTTATTAGATTCAAAATTAGGACACTGCCCCAACTTGGTCCACCAAGCAAATTAAATATATTTTCATATAATAATAATTTCACTGAAATATAAGATACATAATACCGTATTTAAGGATATACATTAATATGAATGTGCATGCAAAATCCTTCAGCACACCCCTAGCTGCTATTTCTGTCTAGGACACACTTGTAGTTTAATGTTAACATCCATTGTGTTTCCAAGTGAATGAATCAACAGAGATTTCTTTCTATTATCCCCTCATTTTCTTTTCTTCTTTCTTTTTATATATAAATTATCTTCACCTTCTATGCACGATATACTCCATAATAATTTTCAGAACCAAGTATATTTGAAATTATTGAGACTTTATCTTAAAGTACATGATGCATATCAACATAACATAATAATATTTTTTGATTTCATCATCAAAATAATTGTCACCTGATCATCAAACCAGCGACCCCGCCGTAACCAAGCAGTTACCAAAGCAAGTAAGATTCTGGGAGGGGTCAAGTAATTGATGGCTTTGCCCGTTCCCTTAACAACCCGCATCCGTGGAACTAATGTTCTAGCAACAGTTTCAGGAAGCTCACAGATGATGTTAAACATTTGCCTATTTTGGACAGTTGAGCCACTGTGAAAAAATATAGTACAATTATGACGCAATACTCATTTGATCAGAGAAAGTTAAATGAAGTGAACAGAAAGAAGTTCTCAATTGTTGGGGAAAGAGAGACCAACTATGCCTTGATGATATGATCAAATAAATACTTACATGAACAATCAAGACCATAGAAATTATTGTTGACCTATGCAAACTAACAAAACCACTTCACAGAACCAAGTTAAAACGGGTTTGAAAAAGATATATACCTTAAAAGCAGATCTGTGAGAACCATGCCAGGAGATGCAGTATGGACACCTACTTTGGAGCGCTTGCATTCCTTTAATAGTGATCCTTGAAGTTGCCTAAGGCCACACTTTGTAGAACCATATCTACATGTTAAATGAAAAGGAAGAATGGTGAGTATCATTAGCAACCACCATCCACCATGACTTTTGAAGAACATATTTCTGAGAGTTTTGCAAAAGCATAGGGGAATCATCAACAGCCTCTCATAGGAGAAACTACATTCAACTCACACAGCAGTCAAAGGTGTGCTAGAGCCTCCAGAACCCGCACCGTCCATATTAAATACATGACCTGCTTTAGTTTGGTTTCTCATAATACGCATGGCTTCTCGTGTGCAAAGGATAGATCCGACCAAATTTGTTGAGACAATCTACAACAATTATAAACAAGTTGACTTTTCAATATAAGGATAAAGACTAAAAAATGATTAGGAACAAAACTTTTACATCAAGACAGATTGAATGGCTATCGAACTTAACAGCATTTTATTTTAGCCAATTAAATAAGAATTTATTAGTAATGCATACCTGTTTAATATCTTCATCACTAAACTGAAGCAATGGTCTAAAACCTTTATTTGTTCCAGCATTATTTATCTGTTGAGTAGTTTTAACATAAAAAATGCAAAAGATTAGAATCAGAACAGAAGCATAAAACCTGCATTCTGCAATGGAAAACTTAACTTTCACTGAAGGGATAACAACCAAATTATTAGTAGAATCAATAAGCACAAACAGTTCCCTTTTATCAAATTACTATTGCATGCAGACACCCAATTTATTAGCTTTTAATTACCCATACTAAAATTAAATACCATATAAAATGACTACAGTAATTTGAATATATTTCTATTCCTGCACAACATTGGGAAGTGTCAAGATGAACATAAATAGATGAGATTATGATTGATATTCAAGTTTTGCAGCTATCAAAACTGATAGTTTTTCAGTTATAACCTTCAACAAATAGTGAGTGTTGATGTACAGGTTTTATTATTATGCCTCTTTATTTAGATAGAAACATTATTCACTTCTCTGAAACAAATGATGCTCAACGACAACAGCCACGATACTTACCCAAATGTCAACATGACCAAGTTCTTTGACAGCAAAGTTAGCCAATCTCTGCACATCATAAGGCTCACAAACATCACAAGCAATGCCTACCACTTTTGCCTGAGAAAGCTTTGTGAGAGATGAGCCAACTGCATTGGCAATCCCTTCCTTTAGATTTTCCTCAAGCTCTTTGATAGTTGCTTGCACAGACTCAGGACTGCCTTCACAAAATGAGAGAGTGGGAGCAACAAGATGTTGTGAGTAACAAGTAGATGAAGGCCACGCTAACATTATTTTGATCTCTATAAAAAGTTCTCATAGTTCAGAACACCACCTGCGAGAGGTAACAACCACACGATCTCCAGAAAGAAGAAATTCTCGAGCTAAGGCTTTACCCAATCCCCTGGTACTGCACACACCATTTACAAAATGCAACAATCAATGTCACGAAAACATCACTAAACAATATTAGATATCATTACTCATTATTAGATATCATCAAAGTAAACAAATTCAGGAAGTCATACGTTCCTGTAATGATAATATCTTCCACGTAAAGTAAAATATAGTAAAATATAGGGATCCACTTACTCCAAAAGCAACTCTTGATAGAGTGTATGTATATGTATGTGTGTAAGATATCACAGGTTCATTAAAGAGCAAAAATGATGGGAATCACTTACACAATAAGAGTATTAAGTTAACATGTACCTCCCTGTTATGACAACATTGCGTGGACCGGCACGACAATGTTCCTCCAACACCATGTTAGCCCCTATCATTGTCCCAATGATTATTCCTCCTAACCAACTATACCATATCAATGCATCCATCTGACTATCTCCACCTTCACAAAATTCATAGAAAATTTAGCACCCTATTTGGGAAACCAATGCATAACTAAGCAATTAGATTTTTTTTCATATATATTAATAGTTAGAAAAATTGCATATAGGCCAACCTGACATCTGAAATCCAATTGAAAGAATGACCCCAGTGCTCATCATGGTCACAATATACCTTCCAATTTGAATGGCAATCTTGATTTTGCCAATACACAAACACAGTTACGTTCAACATTCAACACAATAACATAACAACAAAGTTAGAGCAACAGAAACAAAAACTTACTGAGGACAGCACCTCCTCCACCCTCACCACAGCTTGGCGATACTCATCATCTGATTTTGAACCAACCATTAAATTCCTCAACAAGATAGACCTTAAGGAACTCCAAAACCCACTTTCCCTTTCGAGTTTGACCTCATTCTTCTTCAAAGTTCGAAACTTTTTCTCCTTCGCATCCCCACCATCATCTGTCCTAAAAGCCCTACATTCTTTCACATAAAACCCACCACAATTACGGCCAAAACCCAGCACCCCAGGTGAAGGGCACGAGCCAAGACCCCTAAGCAACTTCGTTTTGTGTTGGCTCAAACTTTCTGGGAAAACGTGGAGCTTCACAACTGTGGCCATGGATGTGATAATCTTTTGGTAGATGCAAGGTTCATGGAAATGAAAATGTTCGGTGAAGACTGCGGAATTTGAGTACCTTGTTGCTTTATTTATTGTTATCTTTTGGGTGAAAACTGAAAGTTATGTTTTTGTAATCTTCTGATTGAGAAAATATCAGATGATGCTGGATCGATCGAAGGGACATGTAACTAGAAACGTAACAAGGAACATAGGAGTGTGATGACCACACGTTGAAGCAACCTAATCTTCATTGATTAAGGCCACGTGGCATTGTGGGTCTGTGGCCACCTCACTTTTCCTTTCTGCTTTAGATAGATAGATCAATTCTTTTTCGAATTTATCTTAGATTACAGAAAAGACAATGAATATTTCTCACAAAACAAATATCTTTGGATAAATTTATGATTAAAATAGTTGTTATTGTTTTAAATTTGAGTAAAGCTACATGTCCGAAAAATTTATCCCAATAATCTTTCAAAAATTAAAATATTAATATTTTTTAATAAATTTATTATAAAATAATTATTTAATTTAATATTTTATAATTTAAATTATTATTTTATATATTCGGATAGTAATTTCGACTATCAATCATTTTCCTTTAAATTTTAGTTTTCATATGAGAAAAGGTTACGAACTGTTTTTCTTTTAATCGAATGCTACGAGTTATTTGGTTTCTCTATTTTCTATTTTTATTCTCAGGAAAAATGAAAAGCAGTGATAAAAATATATTTATTTAAGTTTTAGAAAATATTTTCAAAATGAAGGGTCACATTGAAAAGAAAAAAAAATCGTTTTCAATATTTTCTAACCAAATAAAAACATGATGATGGAAATTATAAATATAAAATAATTTGTTTTTTTAATTTTATTATTCTATGATTTCACTTATGGTACAAGTATTGGTAATGACTCTCATGAATAGTGATAATAGAGTCAGCATTTTTACTATTATTGTCATTAACATCATTTTTGTTGTTATCATTACATTGGTCATGATAGTAATAATAGTGATGTTATTACCATTGTTATTTTCACAACCATCATCATCATTATTGTTGTTACTAATGTTATTATTTTCATCATTATCACTGTTATTATTGTCACAATGGTTATGACGACATCTCATTGTCATTTTCGTTATTATTATCATTATTGTCATTATCTTTATCATCATCATCTTCATCATTATTAACACAATGGTTATGACAATGTGATGGTGACACCATTATTATCACTGTTCTCATCACTACCACCACTATTATCATTATTATAATGATCATGACATTGACTGAGATGATGGCAATGCCATAGTTATCACTATTATTATTATGGTTATTGTCATTGTTGTAATTAATTTTATCATTATTATCATTATTATCATATGTTGACAATAATTTTAGATATTGTTAATAATGATGTCACTATTATTACCATTGTGTCATCACTAACATTGCCACCATCATTATCGATATTATTGTACTCAACATAGTTAAGATATTTTTTGAAAAAAGAAAATAAGTTTTCAAAACAAAGATATTTTTAAATCCTATAAATTTAAAAATAAAAACTATTTTTAGAAAATAAAAATAGAAAAAAAAATAGGAAATAATTTTTTCAACCATACAACATTTTAATATTAGTAATGGGGAATCAAACTTAACTTCATTCACATTTTAGAATTAAAACTAGTATTTTAACATGTTTAGGGTTTAGGGTTTAATTAATAAATAATTATAATAAATAAAATCAATTTAATATGAAGTTAATGTAATCAAAATTTAGAAGATTAGATCATGACAAAATTGAAAGATACTCTTATCAATACTATGATAAAAAAACTAATTTAAAAACTCAAAGTAGTAATTTAATATTTGTGTTCTAAAATTAAGAATCAAAGTTCAATAAAAAAGAGTTAAACTTCCTTATTAAAAAAAAAAAACCTAATCAAAAGAGAATAAAAAACCTAAAACAACTCATGCTCCGTCGGTTCCTTATAGGTTACAACTCACCAACATTTTTTTTCTTCAAATAATAATGGTATTGGCCATTCTTGAATTGGCATAATGCATCTTTTATTCATTCTAAACCAGTAAATATTGCAATGCAATGCTAATCATTGAAGTTAGTCCAAACAACTAAGCAACAAGGAAGGATAGCAAAATTTATTTATTTATTGAAGGGGGAAGGATACCAAATTAGTGAACACAATATTAACTAAAGTTAATTATTTAAATAATTGAGATTAAGGAAATGTTTGTATGTGATTTATTATTTTATTTTATTTCTAAAACCTTTTATAATATATATATATATTTAAAAATATGTTTATGGTTCCTCACTCATTTAATTTTAGTCTTTAAAAAATTGTCTTTTATTTTATTTTTCTTTCTAATTTAAAAATACAAAAAAAAATTAAATTTTTTAACAGATCAGAATCATACTTAAAAATTTTGAGAACTACGACAAATTTTATATTAAAAATATTAATTTATTTTATTTTATTATAATTACATTAATAACAATATAAAATTTGAATTTAGTACCTTATACATATTATCATAACTCCTATAATTAGAGTCGATCCTAATAGTTCACTTTTAAATACTATACTCTAATATAACTTATGAATTTATATTATACTTTTCTAAATTTTTAATACTAAAATTATTCTTGAAAAAATAGTACTAAAATTGTTAATTAAAATTTAATAATTAAATAATTTCAAAATTTTACTCTACGATCATTCATTCAAACACTATCTTATAATATAATAAATATCAAAGTAAATCTAAAAGTTTTAATTAATTTTTAAAAAAATTGGCCATAATTACAAATATTATTAATAATATTTTATAAATATTACATGCATTTAAAAATAAATTTTTAATATAATTTAGTATTTCTAATAGGATATTACTTTCTTTTGTTAACAATTTTTAATACATTTAATTTAGAAATAAAGAAGAAGAAAAAAGGAAGCTAAACTCACTAATAATGCTCACTAAAATTTAAATTTATTTCAACATTAATACAATATTATTTTAATTTATTCTCCTTTAAACTTCTCAAATATTGAAATTCAAATAAAAAGTTCAAAGTATTTTTATATTTAACTTTTCAAAAAAAGTTGTTAATAAAAGAAAATAAACCCACCTTATATATATATATATATACAAAACATTCGAAACTAAAAGAACTACTTTTTTAATATATATATC